CAAGTATTTCAAAAAGCTGGTGTTGATTTATCAAAACCGGCCATTTACACGTGTCAAGGTGGAATAACAGCTAGTGTAATGGCTTTTGTTGCTCATTTACTTGGTCAAAAAGAACATCCCGTTTATATGGTAAGAGGTCAAGAAAAAGTAACAAAGTTCAAAGATATAAGACTCAGCACATGCATTGTCATTGTATAATCTTAACATCATATCTAGCAAATGACATTGGTAAAAAAAACTCCCAATGTGCAAAAATAAAAATATCATATTGTTCGAAACCTGGCGATTGTTTCGTGGTTGAGATTAGAAGAATTTTCGGTAGTATTTTTCAATGTTTAAATTGTGTTCTCACATTTTAGGGCTCATTTATCGAATGGCAACAACGTGCTCCGGCAGATATGATTATCAAAGGCGATATAAAACCTGCCGTTAGTTAAGAGTTGTGACTTCACCATTATTCAATTTTAGTTTTCAATAAAATCAATTTCTTCATTATTTCTTCACAATGACTTGGCCATTCGTTCAATCTTCTATCAATAATCACACTCAATAAATCCAGTTGACTATTATTGATGCTATATTAATCGCTTGTGGTATTGAGAGCATGTGTTCGATGCGATTTTTTCTTTTACTTATTTCTTCTTCATAATATTTGCATTTATTAATTTGATTTCTATTCTCTTACTTGGTTTTGATCATGAGTTCGATATTTGTGTTGAATAGTGAGATTAGCCAGTCACATGTGATAAGAAATAGACAACGCGATAATAGTCAATGAGACGACATTTCGAACAGATTCAAATAGAACAAACTTCCCATATCTAAAAACATATCTTTTGATGCGTTCTTAACAGATAATATCAATTTGAACTGATTTAACGAATAAGTCACAAGCACAAGCTGATGTAAATTCGTTTCATTTGATCTATTTAAAATACAATTCTCTATTCGAAACTAGTCAAATATACTTAAATACAAAAAGCTGGCTAACGAGGAAAAGTAGATAATTATCCGCATACCATAAAGAGGATGCAAATCACTTTTAAAAAATTTGGTCAACAACTTCATGTTGCACTTTCAAAGGAGGAGCTTTTGTTGTAATCGTTCCGATTGATGAATCATCAACTTTTGATGAGTTCTATTCTTTAAGACATTAAGCTTTTCGTATGTTTGAACCATCAAAGTTACATCTAACAGTGATAGTTATAATCAATCTTGAAAATAAAATCTGCTTATCAGCGGCATTTATCAGTTTGAAATTGCTGATATTAAATTTCGTTTTATTTATTAATTTTTAGCATTGCACATCAGCTTTTTATTTTAAGAAACATAATTGACAGAGATCAATATCTTTTCGTAGTCAGGCGTTTGTAAAAAAGAGAAAGATCTGATGTGACTACATGTTCTCCACCATCACTGCTTCTAATAATTTACGATAAAATTTTCCACACCATCGAAAGGCTTCGACAGTCTGATTCGACCAAGATGAAATATTTTACAATGATCAATACTCTGATAAACATTTCTCGGCTATCGATTATAAACTAACAACTCGAATGAGAATGGCAATATTCAATGATGTCATCTGTCAAATCAAAATATTCTCTTCAAACTTAACCCAACCGTTTCTTTAATTAAAAAACCAAAGAAAAAGAGAATAGGCGTAGCTGTAGGTGTCGATTTGAGGTGCTGGTGTGTCAATGCAAGTAAAGAACACCTACACTCACAATCAAATCCATATCGAAAGCAGCACCGACATCCACAGTCACAGCAATATCCCGCATCCATACCCAGATCCACACTCCGACATCTCACATTCCAAAATTCACAACCATACATCGATAATCATGCTCGAAACCAACACCCACACCGTATTGGTATTTAAAATTATTAATAATTCACAATAAAAATAGCAGAAAAATAAAAGCCCGACCTCGGAATTCAGATTCCTCATTTATGATTACGATTTTGTCACGTTTTATGGAATATTTTAAGTAATATTATGCCCACCATGCCGATTATACTCACTATTTCTTTATCAGGAGCCCGCTTAGTTTCTGAAAACTCAAATTAGTCATTGTGACGCTTTTGTCGAAGTGTTTTGATTGCTTGACGTATTTGTGACAACTTATGAGAGTCTGGTCGCGTATGTTCAATAGCCTGTTCATATTTATGTAATGCCAAATCGACTTGATTTTGTTCCAACTGTATGAGTACTCTTTCAGTATAGATTTTGGTCAGAAGAGAATGTTATCCAGGCAACGATTAACAATTGAAAGTGTCGATCGCTCGGTCAAAATACATATGTGCTTGTTCATATTGGTCCCATTTTCGGTTCATGATATCCATTCGAGTATAGCAACCTATTACATTATTATAATAAGGTAAATGTAAATACTCAATGTATGTATTGAGGACACGACCGAAATAATCCATCGCTCACTCGTATTGATCTGTACTCAATTTAGAAGCATATAGAAAATACGTTTTAGCTGTATTTTCATGATGTTCACCAACAATCTTTTGGCATAAACTTATGTTGGAGGCAGCAGCAGCAGCCACTATAAGTAGATCACAATCTGATATCAAACGGTACATGTCCATAGGCACGTTGAAAATCATCACATACTGCGGCATACTCGCCTTGTTGATAATGTGCATTACTTTTAGTTTGATACCATGTAGCCAGATGTGGATGTTTCTCAGGTAACGATTGACATTGAATTTTAATTGTTCTATTTATGTACTCCACTGTCATTTTATGATCGTCCATAGCTGTATGCATGAGACTCAAGTTATTGTATGTCTGAGCAATCAAGAAATGATTACTAGGCAAATATTTTTGTCGTTATGTGCATGCGAACGGTACACACCCAACGATTCTTGTTCTCTTTCAATCAGATTCTCGTTATCCTGCCGCATTTCCAGACCTTTACGTTTATTAGCCAACGCATCGTTATATTATCCACTGCACTTATGTACTAGTCCTCGATCATTATAAGCACATGAAAGTTTCATATTTAGTTTTTCATTTTGTAGACTTTGAAAACTTTCGATTGACTTATTTAAAGACTTAAGAGCCTCATCGAATTGACTGATTTTTCTGTAAAATGTAAACGATTTGGGTGTAGACTACCGGGTGGTCTAACTCAATAAAGTAAAGCGACCTCAATCGTAACGAAAAGATGATGAATTATTACATCCAAAATTATCCGACAAAAAAAAGAGTTCATCACACGAATCGATCATGGTCGATAAGTCGCATGTCTACCACAGTAGTATCTTTTTTTTGTATCAAATAGAATAAATTCTAATTATCTCATAAAAATTTTAAATTTTAATGTTGATTATATATAGTGGTTAAAGAAATATATTCTTATTGGTTTATTTGCATAGAAACGTAACATACAATCGATTCCCAGTAGAAGTCTTAGGTAAAAATTTGTAAAGTTGATTATTTATCTACAATGGATAATGAGAGAATTGAACATCCATCATGGTTTAATACAAGATTAATTGAATCCGATTTATATTTAACAACAGAAGATTATTATTATCCAAGTAATCGTTCGAATATTTGGCTATTGCGTGGAATAAATCGTGATATTCTTATTGATACTGGTCTTGGTGTTTGTAATTTAAAAAAACATTTAGAAAAACTAGAATTATTGAATAATAATCGTGAATGTATTGCTATTTGTACACATTCACATTTTGATCGTAGTGGTGGTGCACATCATTTCGATAATGTTCTTATTCATCAAGGTGATTATGATGGTTTAAGTAATGGTGAAAAATCAGCAACACTAAACTGGTCTCATTCAACACATTATCAGGCACCACCGTATAAAAACTTTGTACCAGAAGAATATAAAGTACCACC